GAAAGAAGATATACCATGCAGACAAGCTTGAGAAAGCTAGCATAGTTGTATTAATGTCAGACAAAACTGGATTCAAGACAGAGAGTATTACTAGACACAAAGAGAATCACACTAAAAAGGTAAAAGGGAGAATACACAGAGAAAGATACTTTATGAATGTTCAAATGTGACTAATGATACGAGGTTCCAATATATGAAGCAAAAACTAACAGAATCAAAAAGGGAAGATAACCAAATCCACAATGGTAGCTGAAGACTTTAATGCTTCTCTCTCAGTAACTGACATTACAACAAGATAAAATAATTAGTAGGGCACAAAATATTTAAATAATAATATCAACCGTCTGAAACAAATACAATTATAGAACAGTATTCCTAATAACCGCAGAGTATGCATCCATTACCAGTGCACACGGGACACTCACCAGACAAATGGCATGCTGAGCAAAGAGACACACGCCAATAGATTGCAAAAGACTGAAATCTTACTGGGTACTTCCTGACCACAACTGAGCTAAATCAGAAATCAATGAGTGAGAGAGAGAGAGAGAGAGAGAGAGGAGTGAAAAGAAAAAAGAGAGAGGAACCTCTAGTTTCTGGTAATTAAGCAATTTAATTCTAAACAATCCATAGGTAAAAGAAGAAATTACATAAAAAATTTTCATATTTTAACAGAATGATAATGAAGAACAAATCAAAATTTGTGGTAAAATCAGTTATCTAAGATCCTACTTTAGAAAGCTAGGGTGAAATTGTTCAAAATACCCCCCCAATAGAAAAGAAATACTAATAAAACTAGAGATCAATGGAATAGAAAACAGAAAGAGAAAAATCAATGAAACCAAATGGTAGCTACCTGACAAGATCAATAATGCTGACAAACCTCTATTTAGATTAAGAGGAAACAAATAAGCAATGTCAGGAATGAAAAAAGGTCAAAATTATAGTTCCTATAGACATTGAAAATAAAAAAAAAGGAATAAATTTAAATTGTTAGCAATCTGATAATTCAGATAAAATAAAACATTTAAAAGACACAGATCAACATATTACCCAACTGGAACATGAAGAAATGTACAATCTGAATAGGTTGATGTCTATTTGTACTTCTAAACTTCACATAAAAAAATAGTCCCAGATGGTTTCACTGTGAAACAATCAAACATTTAACAAAGGAAAATATCAATCCCTTACAAACTTTTTAAGAAAAAAGAGGAAAAACTTCCCAACTAATTTTTTGAAATTAATTACTCTGATGTCAAAACTAGACAAAGATACTACAAAGAAAGATTATAGCTCAATATCCATCATAAACACAAATGTAAGTTTTTAACAAAATATTAGCAAATTGAGTCCAACAGTACATAACAACCAAGCAGGTTTTATCCTAGGAATGCAGTTTGTTTAACATTTGAAATGAATAGCTACAGTTCACCAAATTAACAAAATACAGTATAAGAAGAAAAAATAGCACCTGACAAAATTCAACACCCACTGATGATCAAACCACAACAAACGTAGATAAAAAAGGGAACATTCTCAATTTGGTTAAAAAACAACAAAAAAGAAAAAACCCTACACTGCACTTAACAGTGAATGACACTGTTCTCTCCTTAAGACTAAAAAGAAGGCAAAGATGTGTCCACTGTTATCATTTCTTCCCAGCACTGCACTGGAAGTCCAACAAGCGCAACAAAGCGCAAAAAAGCAAGAGGCGAAACTGCCTTCACCTGCAGATGACATGACTGTGTAGGAAAATCCTAAGAACCGACAGGAAGCTCCTAGTCTTCAGGAAGGGCGCTGGGAACGTTTTGCATCTTGATCACTGTCAAAGTTTCTTTGGTCTAAACCTCTGAAAAAACTCATCAAATGGTATGCTTATGGAGCAGTTTGGTATACATAAATTACACCCCAGAAAGTTATTTTTAAAATTACACACTAAAAATCTCTTATGTGAATAAAACAAAACAAAAACAACAACAAAAATCCCAAACACCTGGGAGTCAAAATAATCTAGAGGAGCTTATATTTAAAAATAGGTCCATATAATATCCGTCATAAAGAACTGACAGTTCAAAAATTTTTAACTAGTGACTGCAGTTTAAAAAATGGAGTATTTAAATGCACTTATATTCAAACAGTCCTACTGGGTGTTGCACACACTCTAATGTGGCCATGCTGCAATTTTCACATATTTTAAATTTTTATATTGCCCTGGGGAATAGGAAATAGACACAGGTTTATTCTAAATTGATAAATGCCTAATCGTGTTTTGATTCTATACTATACTCTGAGAAAATAATAAATACTTCTCCCATGACAATGTATCTTTTTAATTTATTACTTAACATAATTCAAAACTTCCATTACTCCAAGGAAGTCAAAATAAACATTAACTTCTCACAAGATTTTTCCATTCACTACTTTTCAATAAAGCAAGTACCTACAACTAAAACTCTCTAGGACAACAATGAAGTACAAGAAGCCACTAAGCTTTTTCACTTGTCACAAATGTGCACAAAATACCGTTCTTTGGTGGCTGAATGCATTTGTATTGCATAACTCAAGATACCCGAGCCATGAGCCCCGGGGGGTGGGGGGGTCTTGACAAGAAGAATTTCAAAAGATGGGAAGGCAGTTTCACAGAAATAAAAACGCACAAAACCAAAACCCCTCTGGCAATTAAGAAAACTTCAGAAGAAATTTGATACAAAGGACCAGGGGCAAAAATAGCTCAAATTATTTCTGTGTAGAAGAATGTTCTTCCACAAACTGTACAGGGTTTGGAGTAGAAAGGGAATAAATCTGATAAATTCATGAAAGTGCCAAAAATATATTTAATTAAAAATGGTAACATCTTCATTATTCAAAATTCAACTGATCAGCATAATAATGAAAGGAGAATTTTTTCATAATGCTTTTATACAAAAAAACTGAACAGGCAACAAGCTCATATCCAAGAGTCACTTTGAACATACATACAATTTTAGGGCATTTTGAATTCACAGCATTTATAGCCACTGTTCGCAGTATCACCAATCTCTGAGTCTCAGTTTCCTCATTTATGGAATAATTTCCAGGGTTCCTCTGGGTCTATCACTGTATGTTCAGAATAATGCCTCTTTATAAAAACAAAACCCTAAGTATCAAACAGGTGAGAAAGTAAAAAATCGTTCAGCCCAGCCGGCGTGGCTCAGTGGTTGAGCGTTGACCTATGAACCAGGAGGTCACGGTTCAATTCCCAGTCAGGGCACATGCCCGGGTTGCAGGCTCGATCCCCCATGTGAGGCATGCAGGAGGCAGCCGATCCATGATTCTCTCTCATCACTGATGTTTCTCTCTCTCTCTCCCTCTCCTTTCCTCTCTGCAATCAATAAAAATATTTTTTTTAAAATTGTTTAGTTATTTAGGACATAGCATATTCCAAGCAAGATAATTCAATCTTCAACATACAAGAAACTACCATAATGTTTTGTAATATCCCAGAAACACAATTAGACCAGAAATAAAAATCATGCATCATATACCATCTATTCAGATACCTACATGCTTCCTTAAAAGCAAGCTGTTTATGCCCTGGCCAGTTTGGCTCTGTGGATAGAGCACTGGCGAGGGTTCTGGGTTCGATTCCAGTCAAGGGCATGTACCCCAGCCCTGATTAGGGCTCATTCGAGAGGCAATCAGTTGATGTCTCTCTCTCACATCGATGTTTCTCTCTGTGTGTGTCTCTCCCTCTTCCTTCTATTCTCTCTAAAAAAATCAATGGAAAAATATCCTCAGGTGAGGATTAATAACAACAAAACCAAGCTGTATAGTAGAATTGGAAAACTGGGTTATTTTTTACCCTCCATTCCAAACTTTTGGTTTCAACAAGTCATCTGGCATTTCTAAGCCTCGGATGTTTATTTAGAAATTGGAACAGATGATCTCCTAAGTCCCCAACTACAGGGACCTCTCAAAAAAAACAAAAAAAGGTGCTTAAATTACATTTAGTTAATCATCAGAAGAGTTGCTCCCAGCCTCATGCTAATATCCTCTGTATATCCACTGAGCCAAACTGGTTAGGGCTAGACTATTTTTAATGTACCAAAACCCCATAAAGATTCATTACTACTTCTTCAGATTTAATGATTTCACATTAGTGACCACATAGAGAAGAACTATTTCAAGAAACTTTAAAATACATTAAGTTTCCCGAACAGCTCTGTAGGATATCATCTAAAGTCCAAAAGAAGTATCCAGAAAAGTAAACTGGTCTGAAGAGCCACGTTGTCTGCGGCAGTGAGTTCTGCCTGAGCTGCTGTGCACATGACGAAGCTGTCAGGTGACTCATCACAGTGAGATGTCATGCAACCACCTCAGTGCCTTTAGGCTCATGTGTTACGTTTTACTTTAGATTTTTTCAGATTACTATTTTTAAAAACTTAGTTTTGTTTTATAATCATGTGGAATATTTACATGGTTCCAAAGTCAAACCTACAAAAAACAAATGTGTTCAGAGAAGTCCAGCTTCTCCAGTCCTTCCATGCACTTTGAATACAGGGTCTGAGACAGAGAAACCCAGAGCTGACCACAGAACAGCATGGCCCTGGATTCAAATCTAGAGTGTGTAACCGTGGACCATGGCGTAAGGGCTCTAAGCTATTTCCTCGTGCCTACAATGGTAACACCAATACCTGGGAGGGGGTATTGTGCGGAGGAAGCAAGATCATCTATGCACAGTGTTCAGCTTTGTGAGCTCTCAGCCAAGACTGACCGCTAGCCCTAGGCTCTCGTTCAAGCTCACCACAGTCCTGGGGCTCAGGCACATGAACCTAGAGATGCCCTATCACTGGCCCGAGGTCAGTGGAGGTCTATGGCCAAGACCTCATGTTTCAATCCCAGTACTCACTCCTAAGATCCCAGGCTCCTCCATGTTCCCTGCTCATCATATATGCCCTACAGTCAGCACAAGAAAAGGAGAACATTCTTCCCACCCAGGGCAGCTTCAGAAGACTCACTGTGTTCAGTGCATTGAGAGTGGTGTCATCCCGAGATGCAGCAACACAGCCATCCTCGGTGGAGCCTCCGTCACACATGCCTGCAAACGCCGCCATGCTCCTGGGAAGACAGGAAGGGAAGACATCAGTACAGAGATGTTAACCCTCAATTATCAGAGTACATTTCCAGCCGACCAAATTCCACTCTTACACGCATGGTAAGCCACAGTTCTCAGTCCCATACAATTCACCTCCATTCACTTAGGAAGAAAAGTGTTCCTTTTACTCATGTCCAGCTGTGTTATTCTTCCCATGCTTCATCAGTTCTCAGATTTTAATTTCCAGAGCATGAATAATCTAAAACTATATGCCACAACAATTGCCTAGATTACAATCGTTTGAAAGAAAAGTCCCCAGAAAACATAAAATTAAATCCACTGAAACTTGACTTAATTCATTCCATGCTATACATCAAGTACTTTTAGGTGAATTAAAAGTAAAAAAGAGATAAAATAAGTCATTCCCTCTGCCATAGCATCCTCATCTCCACTTACACCTCCAGCACAGCACTGCTGACCAAGCCGCTGGAGCTGAAACTCAGTTGCCTGGCCTTGTTTTAGCATTGTTGTTGCACAGGTGAGGCTGCAGTGAATCCACTGCAGACAAAGGAAGGCTCTCTGCCTGCACTGCAAGTGTCAGGGACAGATTTAAACTTCTCTTTTGTAGCTTAGGCATTTGTTTGTTAGCAAGTTCTTATATAGATAAGCCACAAAAACACACGTTTAGGCCTGGCACCGATGAACAGCCATAAAGTTGAGAACTCTGTGATGGGATTTGAAGATGGATGGAATGACCCGATTGTTCATTGTATTGAGGAATTTGACAATAGCATGTATGGCTTTAGACGATTTCCTTCTGAAGAGTTCCAAACTCGGATGTGGGACAAAGAGGGGAAGAAAAAAGTGACTTTACCATGGTAAAACAGGGCTCTAATTACAGAGGGTATAACAAAATTGAAGTCAGAGAATGCCCAATATATAAATAAAATGTCGGGGGACAGGAGAAAGTTTATTGCCTACTAATCAATTCAGATTGCCTAATCCAGAAAGCAGGATGGAGCGAATTCCTCTTACCTTGCTGCCCTCAAGTACATGAGGAGGTCACAGTCATTAACTCCAGGCATCCAGACCAGCTCCTCATGTTGGGTCACAGTGTCACCATCTGGAGAAGGGAATGGCTGCAAATCGGGAAGCTTGGCCTGTAACACAGGGATGGAAAAGTCACAACCCGGCCCTTCGAAGGGCTGCCGCCGGCAGGCCCTGGGCAGAGAGGCAGCAGCTCGCTGGATCTCGAGGCGTTACTGAATAACAGCAAACCCTGCGCCAAGGAAACCGCCTGCAGCACGTTTCCAGGTCGTTTCACACATAATATTTCACCATGGACTGCTTAATCTCTACTTTCTAAACCAGGGCAAGATCCAAAGGTTGAAACAGAAATGGACATGTGTGAGTAAAAAATAAATCAAACAAAAAATGTCTCAGGAGCTTACAGTGCCGCCTTGATAAAGAAAGAAAAAACACACGCATTTCCAATATAACAAGTTTACAAAGAGACATCTACAAATAATGAAATCTCACCTTGGTCTATTTGCTCAAAAATTAAATGAGCTTATCCTATTAAATTAATGCTCTTCTCAAGAGAGTCAATATGAGCCACGGTAAACATAAAAAGACACAGAATGGGAGTTACCATGAAAGCAGAGCTGCACTAAATGAAGGTGCAGGAATTAGATGAGCAGTGGCTTCAGGACAGGACTGCGTGGGAAGGGGCAGGAAGGAACTTTCTGAGATGACAGAAATGTCTGTCTGGATACGAACTATCACAGCGGACTGAACAGAGTACATTAATATACAAACAGTTCATTGTATGTAAGCACAATAACATTTTTTAAAATATTTGAATACCAGTGCTCAACAACCAAGATTCTAAGTCAGCTCTAATGTAGAGACTCGAACACCTTGAGCATTTTCTCATCCGCACGCTGCTGGGGCAAAATAAACAGGTCCTACTGCACCCATCAAAGATCTATGAAAATTATGCTAAGTGAAATAAGCCAGTCAATGAAGGAAAAATACCACATGATCTCTCTCATTCATGGATAATAAAGACCATTATAAACTTATGAACAATAATAGATACAGAGGCAGAGCTGCTTCAAACTGATTGCCAAACTGCAGCCGGAAGGCCAGGGAGGGTTGGGGGGCAGGGGGGAGGGGGGTAAGAGATCAACCGAAGGACTTGTATGCATGCATATAAGCATAACCAATGGACATAAGACACTGGGGGGTAGGGGAGGCCAGGGGATTGTCAAAGGCGGGGGAAAAAAAGGATACATATGTAATGCCCTGTGTAATACTTTAAGCAATAAAACAATTTAAAAAAAAGATCTATGAAAAGTCAACCACATGGAAGACACACATGCTCTTATTTTCTTAAAATTTGAACACTGACACATTAGTCTAATATTTTTAACTAAGAGCTGCAGTTTTAAAGCTCCAGTTCCACAAAATCTAGGCAAAAAATTTAAATGAATTAAGCAGGCTTAGAATAAGGCAACACTGTCCAACAGAAATAAAATGAGAGCCACATAATTCAGTTCAAATATTCTAGCATCCACATTAAATAAACCACATCCCAATCTGAACCAGCTACATTCCAAGTGCTCAAAGCCACCTGCGGCAGTGGCGGTGGCTCTGGATTGGGCGTGCCAGTAGGAGTGGGGAACCAGGGTGAAATGGAGAGAGCTGCCCCATCCTGGGAATGCTGCCATTCAGGAACAAGAATCAGCATTTGCGCATTGTCCAATTTTTTCCAAAGTCCAAAAATCTTGACTATTATGTGAAATGCTGGTGATTCAAGTTTTTCAAACAACTGTCTGCCAAAACACATCGGTAGGCCATGCAGCTCGCAGGCCACCAGGCCGCAGCCTCTGCCTCACGGGCTCTGGCAGCTCTCCATGTGCACCGAGCACCGGCTTTCTCCAGACAAAGGTGCGCTTCTTTGATTTAGTGGCAACGTTCATGACACTTAACTGGGTACCATAATTAGTACTGCTTAATATACAGTGATGTATTGAAATAAGATTAAAACACAATAGAAATTCCTATCAAAAGATCTTTAACATTTGTACTGAGCTCTGCTTCCCCAGTACCAGGTACAGTCCCTAGTGGAGTAGCTCTCCAATGATTATTTGTTAATTAAAAAGTACTACCTTTGTGGGGGAGAACCAACCCCTCTAGAGAAAAACGGGCTAGAAAATGTAATTAGTTTACAGAAAAGGAATTGCACGTGGCTCTTAATGGTAGGAAAAGATGGTCTACCTTGCTGAGAAGAGAAATGTAAGTAATGACAATGAGATACCATTTTCATCTATCATGTTAACATAAATCTCAAAGTGTGACAATATACAAGGCTGTGCTAAAATGAATGCAAAATGGTACAATCTCTATGGAGGGAAATTTTGCAATATTCTAAGAATTACATATGCACTTTTGCCCTCTAAGCCAGCCAGCCCCCTTTTAGGGATATAAACCAAAGATATGCTGGCAAAAAATATAAAAGTGTGTCTGTACAGGCTATTTATTGCAGCGTTACTTGTAATAGTAAATGACTGGAAGCAGCCAAGTACCCACCAACAGGGGCTGCAGAAGGGACTGTTCTGCCCACTCAGTGGGGTCCCGTGAAGTGGAAAAGGACACGAGGGGGACTCTGCTGCTTTGCTAGGAGGTAAAGAAGAGGGTACAGATGTGTGCACTATGCTACCATTTTTCTAAGAACAGAAGGTGGAGGAATATAAATAAGAATAAATCAGAACCGTAAATTTATCCATCAGCAAGGGAGGGAACATGGGGAGGAGACAGGGATAGAAGGTAGGCTTCTGAACTTACTTTGTTTATATGTCTGAGTTTGGAGCCATGTAAATACTTTAGTAATTATAAAAACAAAATTAAGTTTAATAAACAATAATCCCTTAAAAACTCTAAAGCAAAGTGAAACAAATGCACCTAACTATGCATTGAGTTGGTTCTTCTTCAGGAACTATTTTAAGTAATTTAAAAACGTGCTATTTTGCCTATACAGCCCAAGTGGGGCATATTCTCAGGCCAAAAAAATTAATAGTAAGATGATGGTTCAATCATATTATTTTTGTCAGTGTGACTACTGTTGTTATAAGCTGTTATATACGTATTACAGGATTAAAGCAAATATTTTTGTTGATGTCATTTAAAAATAAGATTTGAAACAGAAGAAGATACAGATTTGGATGAAAAAAAATAAAATTAATAAAAGGTGTATATAAAAATTTGAATTTGAATTAGAAGTATCAGAAAGAAGCCACGGTATATTTTATCTTTAAAAAAGAAGAAAATGACTGGCCAGTGTGTTCAGTGGTTGAGCATCAACCTATGAACCAGAAGGTCACAATTCCCATTCAGGGCACATGCCAGGGTTGCAGGCTCAATCCCCAGTGTGGGGTGTGCAGGAGGCAGCCAATCCATGATTCTCTCTTATTATTGATGTTTCTATCTATCTCTCCCTTTCCCTTCCTCTCTGAAATAAATAAAAAATATATTTAAAAAAAAGAAATTGCTCACTTTTATTAGGTGTGACATATTTTGATTGTTCTGGGTTTTGTTTGTTTTTTTGAAAGAGCTCTTATCTTTGGGATATTTACAAGTGAAGGATACAGTTCTGGTTCATTTCAAAATAACTGGGAGAGGTGAGAAAACATAAATTAAGTAAGTTTTACTATACCATGTGTGAAAGCTCAGTAATATGAATTAAGGAGGTTTATTGTACTAATCGTTCCCTATTTTTGCATATGTCAATATTTTATCTAATAAAAAAGTTAAAAAATTTAAGAAGGCAAATGTTGCCAATTCATAAAAAGGTCCTCTAATATTTGATGCTTTGAAACATTTCTTTTTGAAAATAAACCATACAGAATATACTTAAAATCTGACATCTGATTTTAAATGAAAGTATACAAAAATCCAAGCACAGTAAATCTGTTCATTTCCAAGGATTTAAGCATCTTTACTTAAAAACCACTTTTTCTGTTATGGTAGGGGGAAAAATCTGTAAAATAAAACTCTAGTACAATGATCTCAAGACACTGGAAACAAATGAGGAAGGAAAAAATAGGTGCGAAATACAGTGGGAAGAGAGAGCAGAGAGAGGGAGATGTAATGGAGTGGTCCAGGCTAGGCCTGGATCTCTGGGTTAAAATGAAGGCACAGGACATATGGTGGAGATGGTAGTCAGCCCTCCCTAAGAGACCACACCAAGAACAGGGTATACAGCAAGTCCTTTCATCAATGTCATTTCATTATAACATCGCTGAGATGCCATAGGAACCCAACTCTGGTGTGGATCAGTCAGCCTATGGTAAACTCGATTTCATTGTATGTCTTTTCCGTAGTTGCAGAACCTATCAACAATGTTAAGTGAGCACTTACTGTGCCTGAACAAGGCAGACGTTAGGGGAGTGGCCTCTGGCAGCTTCTTCCTACCTGTCTCAGTTCTAACCCTAGCTCTGGGATGAGAAGTTTCTTCTAGTAATTAGATGCCCCTTATCATTTCTGTGTTTTGGTTTTAATATTTCTTTACTTCTTATTAATTTTTCTCATTATGGAGTTAAAATAGGTTGTTAAAAAATATGCATGACATGCAAGAAATACTCAAAACCAGACAGGAAATGACTGACTAGGCAGATTACTAAACCTCTAGATCCTTATAAGGACTTGCCTGTATGTCACGTCTCTAGTATGTGTGGGCCATAGCGACTAACTCCCCAACATCTATTCCAACTGAAATGACAATCATGCTAAACCTATTTCCCTCATGGTTTAGAAATGGACACGTGACCCAATCTATGCCAATGGGATGTGAGGACTAGGGGAGACCTGGGAGAATTTTCTTTGCTTCTAAGGGGAAGAGAAGGATGATTACTTTCTTACTCTCAACATTTGCTGTATTTCACTCATTGTGAGATCCACTGTTATTTTATGTGCATTTAGGAAGGAGACTTGCTGCCCATGAAATTATAACTATACCACAGCGTGTACACTGAAGTCCGTCAGAGACTGTAAGATGTGAAGGAGAGAAGAGCATCTTAGGATCAGTGCAATTCAGCCCCCAGCCCGCGGAGGCACCCAGCCCGCAGGGGACAGCCACGCACCAGCACAGCCCCGAGAAGCGGGGCCTGGTCCTGTCTGCCCGGGGTGTGATGTATGTGGGACCAGAAAGAGCCAAGGTCGGCCACGGTTTTCTGCTCCTGCCCATCAAGCACCCTAACTGACAGATCAAGGAAAGAGATGGCAAACATGAGAGGGCAGAGGTCACAACACAACAAGCTTCTGAAGACAAGTATCCTAACCATCTTGGCTCTTCTGAAGGAAAGAGAGCTTTGAAAAAGTTAAAATCAAAGTATTGTTAACTAAATGTTTATGGACGGGTGAATGAATAACAAAATATGATCTATACATACAATGGACTATTCCGCCTTAGAAAGAACTCCGACACATGCTACAACATGGCTGTGTACTGAAGACATGAGGCCCAGGAAAACGAGCCAGACACAGTGACAAATACTGTGTGGTCCCACTGAGACAAGGTCGGCAGAGTAGGACATGTACAGACAGAAAGTAGAACTGTGGATGCCAGGGGCTGAGGGACGCGAGAATGGGGTGTTAGTGTTTAGTGGGGACAGTTTCACTTTGGGAAGATGACAATTTTCTGGAAGTCGAATGTGGTAATGATTGCACAATATGAATGTACTTAATGCCACTTAATTGTACACTTAAAAAAATGGTTAGAATGACAAATTTTACATTACGTATATTTTATCATAATTAAAAAATAAAAGTATGAGGTAATCTGGGGGGGGGGGGGCTCTGCATTTATATAAAAATTCCTGTAGAGATAACGACAGTTCCAAGTTGCTGCTCAACAGCATAAAAGGGCCAGCAGAATAACAAGAAATAAAAAGCCTATTAAAGAAGCTACTAAAATGCGCTTTACCTGATGGCTAGGACCCACACGAATCTCCCCCTGGGTACTGTTCAGCCGCCTGTCAGGAAAAGAGTAGATTTGGTTAACAAATGTAGTTTTGACATAAATGTTCACATATTTTTCAAGGAAAGTAACTCACTTCAAATAAATGAAGTATAACTCAGGAAGAATCCACTATTTCTAATGCTGCCCTGAACTCCCCCACCGCACACATCTGTAAACCTTTTTCTCCTAAAAAGCCATTACTGCAGCCTCCTGTCATTCCTTTACCATCATGCTTCCACGCCTCAGAGGGAGGCGCATGCCTCCTGTATAACCCCCATAGATGCTTCTCTTTTCAATACATTTCAGGATGTCCTAGAGTAAACATTACTGAAATATAAACAAGATAACTTATGGTTCCTCGCACACACACTGGATCATTCACTCATTCATATAGTCGACAAATATTTATTAAGTGCCAACCATAAGCCAGAAGTTGTCTTAGGTGTCGGGGATAAAGCAATGAACAGAACGATGTCCTTGCCTTCTTGGAACTTACATTCTAATTCAGGTAGAAACAAGCAAACAAACAAAAACAAATAAATAATAGGTCAGATGATGATAAGGGCCAAGGAACGAAGTAGAAGGTAAATGATGAACTATTTTTACAGTTATTTATACAGGACAGTCACAAAAGATCTTATTAGTGAAGTGAAACTTGCCCTAGCCGGTCTGACTCAGTGGATAGAGCGTCGGCCTGTGTACCAAAGGGTCCCAGGTTCGATTTCAGTGAAGGGCACACACCTCGGTTGCAGGCTCCTCCCCGGCCCAGGCCCTGGTTCGGGGCTTGTGCAGGAGGCAACCAATCAATGTGTTTCTCTCACATCCATGTTTCTCTCTGTCTTTCCCTCTCTTCCACTCTCTCTAAAAACCAATGGAAAATATCCTTGGGTGAGTATTTAAAAAAGCCAAACACAAAATAAAGTAAAACTTGAACAGAGATGAAAAAGATGGGAGGGACTGAGCCCAGCAGGTCTTTGAGGTGGAAGGGCTTGCCTCATTTCAGTGGACACCATACACCATTCTTCGTTGTTGTTGTTGTTACATAAATTAACTCATTTGTTACAGGCCAGCGATGTTTCAAATCGTGGCGCTTCCCCTGGTCTTTGCGTTCCTCGTCTCCGGAGGCAGACGGGCTGGTGTGGTGCAGGCACCACCAGCTGCTGTTTCCATGCAGGAGCCACAGTGCCAGGTCCCCCAGCTCCTCTCTTCATGTTGGTTTCGGCACAGGAGTATGTGTCCTTGGCATTCTGGTTCATGTCAATTCTTCTCACCATTTTCCTGAGGGAGGCGCCATATGGGTCCCATATTTCCCAACGATGTGGACCTTCGCGGTGTGGTCACCACAACCAGGGCTATGCCATTCTTACTGCACTTGCAAGGCCCACCCTTCCTTGCTCCAAACCTAACCATCCAAGTTCCTTTTAAAAGCCACTGTTCCCTTGCCAAAACCGGTTTGGCTCAGTGGATAGAGCGTCGGCCTGTGGAGTGAAGGGTCCCAGGTTCGATTCCGGTCAAGGGCATGTACCTGGGTTGCGGGCACATCCCCAGTGGGAGATGTGCAGGAGGCAGCTGATTGCTGTTTCTCTCTCATCGATGTTTCTAACTATCTCTCTCC